CCTCCGGGCCGAAACCCGCTCGCTCGGGGGGGGGAGAATGGGCCGGCCTGCCCCCCCCCCCGGCGGGGTTGTTGTGGGAGAGGCATCCTGAAATATACTGGGTTCAACACGCGCTAGTGATCAGCTCATGCTTTATTGTGGAAACAGCTCGAACTAAGGACAAACTAGCAGGACCGAAGCCCTGCTTAAATTCGCACCCAGCACCACACATCCCCCCCCACACACACACACTACCAGTGTTCCCTCTAAGCTGAGCCAGTGTGAGCCAGCTCACAGTTTTTTAGCCTCCGGCCCACACATTTTTGTCTTCGCTCAGGAAGGATGGCCCCAGAGCAAACTCATTTAGGCAGCAGCCAAAACGCTCGCTCACCACCTTAATGCCAACAGCTCACAAAGTAGAATTTTTGCTCACAAGACTCCACACCTTAGAGGGAGCATTGCCCACTACCTGTGATAGGTTATTTACAGGGGCACTCCTGGGGGATAGGTTCGTCCCAGGATCCTAGCAGTCTATTGTTCTGTGACTCCAAGCTGGGTCGGACAGGTTAGGCTCAGTACACAACACTCCTCCCCCCAAAGTTCAGACTTCCCAGCAATCATAGTCCCTTAGATAGGTCGGTCTGCGTCGCTCACGGTTCAAGCCACGTGGTTCCGTTGGCGGGACTGTGGCTTCTGTCTCTGGTCCCGATGCAACAGCCACGGGGCCCGGGGGCAGTGGTAATGTCGGCACGACCTTGGGCCCGTCAGTTGTTACCTGTTCTGGTGTGGCACCCACCAGTCCACCTGGGGTTTCGTTGGCGGCGGGTTGGTCACTGGGACACCATGCTTGGCCTCCGGCTCCGGTAGAGCTGGCAACTCCGCGTTGTCTTCATCCGGGGTCGTTGAGGGAAGGCTTGGCTCCACGGAGAAGACGACAGCGGAACTGATCGATGTGCCTCCGTATTTTCTGGACACCGTCGCTAGACACTTCATAAGACAGAGGGCCAGTGACTCGGAGAACCTTGGCCGGAATCCAGGTGGGGCCGCTGGAGAAGTTCCGGGTGTAGACGGAGTCGCCTGGGAAGAACCCCCGGGGTGCCACTTGGTATTCGGGGGCCGCATGATGCTCCACCGCGTGGTCAGGGTGCATCAGGTCCAGACGTGTGGTGAGGCGTCGTCCCATGAGAAGTTCCGCTGGGCTGCAGCTGGTGGAGGTGCACAAGGTCACCCACTGGCCAAAAAGGAAGGTCGCTCGGCGGCTCTCCTGCGCCCTCGGAGCCTTCAGGCAGGTGGCATCACTGGGGGCTTTGGGCAAAAAATCATTTCCCTGCTCCTTTGGCCCTTATAAAAAGTGACGTGGCTCCCAGTGAAGGGTTGGGTATAAATCCAATCTCTTCTTCTTCCCCAGAGCAAGTAAAACGGATATTCTGCCAGGCCTATGGTTGAGGACAACCATGGTTTTTATTCGGATTCTGCCCAGGCCTTCACCATGCCAGGTCCACGATTCACCCTATGGAGGGAGAGGAGTTTTGTATGCCATCAATTTATCTGGAGAATGCGATGGTTGTATGGGTCATTTGTATTTTTACTAATTTTACTGTTTATTGTAGATCTTTAGTCTATTCTGTGTCGCTACTGAAAAGTACTGGGGGAGGCAGGCCCATTCTCCCACCCCCGAGCGAGCGGCGCCGGGGCAGCGATGCTCGAGGCGGGATTGCACACATTTATTGTACTTAACATCGAACTGCAAAACGGCCCTGCAAGGCCAACGATATACACACCCACACAGCACACCCACAGTCCCATTGGGGGGGGGTTGAATTTCCCTCCATAGTTCCTATTGGTCCGTGCTGGGGGAACTAGGATCCTCAGTTCCTATTGTCTTGAGGAGCTAAGCTCCTGCCTGTAGCCGCGGACCCCTGCTGGCGGTCCGCGTACATAACAATATGATGCACCTCCCTGAGCCCTCTGGTGGAGGGCGGTCTATAAATTTGTTTGTTGTGGATCCTGCCCAGTGGAGGTTCTGGGCAGAATCAGTCTTGCAAAGACTTCTTCTCCAAGAAACGGGTAGTCTGTTGGCAATGCAGGTCCTGTTCTCAGCAGAGAAGAATGAAGGCAGGAAGAGGGTTTGGGATTCGGAGTTCATCCTGTTGCTTTGGCACAGGGCCTTGTGGTGCGTGGTGCGCCCAGTGTTCCCTCTGAGCTGAGTTAGTGTGAGCTAGTTCACAGTTTTTTAGCCTCTGGCTCACACAGTTTTGCCTTCGCTCAGGAAGGATGGCTCCAGAGGAAGCTAATTCATGCAGCAGCCAAATCGCTCACTCGCAACTTTAATGCCAGTAGCTCACAAAGTAGAATTTTGCTCACAGGAGTCCACAGCTTAGAGGGAGCATTGTGTGCGCCCCTGTTGGTCAATGAGGTCCCAAATGCCAGGCCACCCCTTGCCTACTGTCAGGTCAAAGTGTTATGCCAGCAGACCCTCGCCTTTTGGCGAAAGTGTGCAGAAGCAGTAATGGCTCTTTGGCCAAGTGAAGCAGAGAACAGCCTCACCCCCATTTCCTGTTCTTTTCAGAGATTATCGGCTTGTGTTAAATGGCTTTCAAAACACCATCGATGTTTCCCCAGAGGATGCTCCAGATTCCCAGCAGGTTTAAACTTGCTGTGTTTTGTCTGACCTGGTAATCCAGTGATCTATCCTGGTTTTGCAAGGGCCTGTGCAGCAGAGCCCCGGGGGAGTGCGTGGGTGGGTGCCTGGAGGGAGGTCTGGAGTCACTTTGTAACTTCAGCACAAAAACTCCCCCCTCCCCCGAATTTGGATTCCAAAAGTATAAATGGCACGCCTCGGTGGTTTGCCCTCACCAGCTAACAATTCATGATTTGCTGCCGGCCCCTAACTCTGAAATTGTGCACCTAATGACAGCCTTTTTTGCTCTTGGAGCAAGCCCTTTCTGAGCACATTTAGGGATCAACTTCTGCCATCCTCTTCTCTCTTTATTTGCTTGCCATGTATAGGAATTGAGTTGAAAGGGGGCAAAAACCTGTCCCTGAGACTACCTGGAATTTAAGGCAGGTTTTTTAAAGAGCCAAAGGAAAAAATAACCCCCACCAAGTATACATGTCAGGTAGCCCTGTCATGGAGTTGGAATGTGGAGGGGTACATTGTCTCCTCTTCGTTCTCAGCTCTGCCCTGTCTAGCTTCTGGATGTTATCTCCTTTGCTTTGACCTTGTTGTTGTTCCCAGCTGCAAAGTAACCGGCCTGGGAACCTAATGGCTTGGCGCTCAGCAGCTCGCTTGCCAGCTTCAGCCCCCGCACGCGAAATTTACTCATTGGCTTTGGCTCCGGGGAGTTTGATTGTACTATAAGTCAGTGACCATCATATTGCAGGTCATTCCTGACACAAGCTGTATACTCGTTCTTTAGTGATGGACTACAAATAAAAACACTTCTCTTTCCAAGAAGGCTTTGTGTGTGGTGTGATCCTGCTAAGGAGCCTGACAATTCACTATGCACCATAATACACTGTACACTATAATTTAGCTGCCATCCAATCTTAATCAATCTCAATATTAATTTTATGATTAATTTTGTGCTGTTCTCTAATAATTTACATTTATAAGTGTCTCCATAGACTGTTATAATGAAATGCTCAGTACATAGAATTTGAAAGTGATTCTCAGTTATAGGAAGTTTCACCGAGCAGTGGCCGTATGAAACAAGGGCTTGTAGCCAGAAAAACCTCAGAGCTCCTTGGCTGGTGTAAAGCTGCAGTAGACAAAGACATGGGAAGACGCCTGGAAGGAGCCATGTGCCCCCGAGGAGCAAGGAGCTCTTTGTTTCTCTGGGTGGCTCACAAGCCAAGAGAGAGCCAGGGAGGGGCAGGCCAGATAGTGAGTTTCCTGGCTGGGAAAGCCAGGAATAAAGAGGCTGTGAACATGGCCCCAGGAGGAACTGATGCTCTGTATTCCTGGTGCTTGGGGGGCAACCGTGGGAGGGCTTCTGGAGTTCTGGCCCCTGCTGGTGGACCTCCTAATGGCCCCTGGCTTTTGCCCATTGTGTGACAGAGTGTTGGACTGGATGGGCCATTGGCCTAATCCAACACGGCTTCTGTTATGTTCTTACTTCTTGGGCTTGGAGCCCCCGTGGCTGGTGGGAAGCAAGGCTGACAGCCCCCTTTCCCCTTCAGTGCTTACGTGACAGAAAGCTAGGCTGACCTGCTCCAACACAAAGATGGAGAAAGACCCCAAAGGGGAAACAACCCTTCCCTGCCAAGGGATCTGGTGGATCCACTCTATACAGCCATGGGGGAAGACTGGGCCTCCTGAACCCCCACCCCCCACAACAGCATATCTGTGAAGGTTCTATCCCAGCATTCCTCCAAGGAGCTCAAGGTTCTCCGGTTTCCCATTTTAGCCTCACAACAGTCCTGTGAGGTTTGTTGTTGTTCAGTCGCACAGTCGAGTCCGACTCTTCGCGACCCCATGGACCAGATCACGTCAGGCCTTCTGGTCTTCCGCCATCCTCTGAAGTTGGCTCAACTTCATGTCTGTTGCATCTTGACACTGTCTAACCATCTCATCCTTTGCCGTCCCCGTCTTCTTTGACCTTCAATCCTTCCCAGCATCAGGGTCTTCTCCAGTGAGGGCTCCCTTCTCATTGGGTGGCCATAGTCTTTGAGCTTCAGTTTCATTATCTGGCCTTCCAGGGAACAGTCAGGGTCGATTTCTTTTAGGATTGACTGATTTGATCTTCTTGCAGTCCAAGGGACTCTCGAGAGTCTTCTCCAGCACCATAGTTCAAAAGAATCTATTCTTCTGCGCTCGGCCTTCCTTATAGTCCAACTCTCGCAG